TTGTGGAAAAATTGAACTTCTCATTTCCTTGTGCACGTCAGTTGTGACTTATAATGTCACCGCCCGATAGACCCACGACTGTCAGGTCCCGACGCTGCCTCCTCCTCTGAGCATCGCACACGTTAATAGAAATAAGTAATATTTCATTTTAGTGAGTTAAGTGTAATTGTAAGTACGTGCAGCGGAAGCAGATGATTGTGGAAAAATTGAACTTCTCATTTCCTTGTGCACGTCAGTTGTGACTTATAATGTCACCGCCCGATAGACCCACGACTGTCAGGTCCCGACGCTGCCTCCCTCCTCTGAGCATCGCACACGTTAATAGAAATAAGTAATATTTCATTTTAGTGAGTTAAGTGGAAAATAAGTACGAGAGTACGAGAGTACGAGAGTACGAGTACGAGTACGTACGTACATACGTACATACATATGTACATACATACGTAACGTACATACATACATACATACGTACATATGGAAAAATTTAATTTACGTACATATGGAAAAATTGAACTTCTCATTTCCTTGTGCACGTCAGTTGTGACTTATAATGTCACCGCCCGATTGACCCACGACTGTCAGGTCCCGACGCTGCCTCCCTCCTCTGAGCATCGCACACGTTAATAGAAATAAGTAATATTTCATTTTAGTGAGTTAAGTGTAATTGTAAGTACGTGCAGCGGAAGCAGATGATTGTGGAAAAATTGAACTTCTCATTTCCTTGTGCACGTCAGTTGTGACTTATAATGTCACCGCCCGATAGACCCACGACTGTCAGGTCCCGACGCTGCCTCCCTCCTCTGAGCATCGCACACGTTAATAGAAATAAGTAATATTTCATTTTAGTGAGTTATGTTAATTGTAAGTACGTGCAGCGGAAGCAGATGATTGTGGAAAAATTGAACTTCTCATTTCCTTGTGCACGTCAGTTGTGACTTATAATGTCACCGCCCGATAGACCCACGACTGTCTGGTCCCGACGCTGCCTCCCTCCTCTGAGCATCGCACACGTTAATAGAAATAAGTAATATTTCATTTTAGTGAGTTAAGTGTAATTGTAAGTACGTGCAGCGGAAGCAGATGATTGTGGAAAAATTGAACTTCTCATTTCCTTGTGCACGTCAGTTGTGACTTATAATGTCACCGCCCGATAGACCCACGACTGTCAGGTCCCGACGCTGCCTCCCTCCTCTGAGCATCGCACGTTAATAGAAATAAGTAATATTTCATTTTAGTGAGTTAAGTGTAATTGTAAGTACGTGCAGCGGAAGCAGATGATTGTGGAAAAATTGAACTTCTCATTTCCTTGTGCACGTCAGTTGTGACTTATAATGTCACCGCCCGATAGACCCACGACTGTCAGGTCCCGACGCTGCCTCCTCCTCTGAGCATCGCACGTTAATAGAAATAAGTAATATTTCATTTTAGTGAGTTAAGTGTAATTGTAAGTACGTGCAGCGGAAGCAGATGATTGTGGAAAAATTGAACTTCTCATTTCCTTGTGCACGTCAGTTGTGACTTATAATGTCACCGCCCGATAGACCCACGACTGTCAGGTCCCGACGCTGCCTCCTCCTCTGAGCATCGCACACGTTAATAGAAATAAGTAATATTTCATTTTAGTGAGTTAAGTGTAATTGTAAGTACGTGCAGCGGAAGCAGATGATTGTGGAAAAATTGAACTTCTCATTTCCTTGTGCACGTCAGTTGTGACTTATAATGTCACCGCCCGATAGACCCACGACTGTCAGGTCCCGACGCTGCCTCCCTCCTCTGAGCATCGCACACGTTAATAGAAATAAGTAATATTTCATTTTAGTGAGTTAAGTGTAATTGTAAGTACGTGCAGCGGAAGCAGATGATTGTGGAAAAATTGAACTTCTCATTTCCTTGTGCACGTCAGTTGTGACTTATAATGTCACCGCCCGATAGACCCACGACTGTCAGGTCCCGACGCTGCCTCCCTCCTCTGAGCATCGCACACGTTAATAGAAATAAGTAATATTTCATTTTAGTGAGTTAAGTGTAATTGTAAGTACGTGCAGCGGAAGCAGATGATTGTGGAAAAATTGAACTTCTCATTTCCTTGTGCACGTCAGTTGTGACTTATAATGTCACCGCCCGATAGACCCACGACTGTCAGGTCCCGACGCTGCCTCCCTCCTCTGAGCATCGCACACGTTAATAGAAATAAGTAATATTTCATTTTAGTGAGTTAAGTGTAATTGTAAGTACGTGCAGCGGAAGCAGATGATTGTGGAAAAATTGAACTTCTCATTTCCTTGTGCACGTCAGTTGTGACTTATAATGTCACCGCCCGATAGACCCACGACTGTCAGGTCCCGACGCTGCCTCCCTCCTCTGAGCATCGCACACGTTAATAGAAATAAGTAATATTTCATTTTAGTGAGTTAAGTGTAATTGTAAGTACGTGCAGCGGAAGCAGATGATTGTGGAAAAATTGAACTTCTCATTTCCTTGTGCACGTCAGTTGTGACTTATAATGTCACCGCCCGATAGACCCACGACTGTCAGGTCCCGACGCTGCCTCCCTCCTCTGAGCATCGCACACGTTAATAGAAATAAGTAATATTTCATTTTAGTGAGTTAAGTGTAATTGTAAGTACGTGCAGCGGAAGCAGATGATTGTGGAAAAATTGAACTTCTCATTTCCTTGTGCACGTCAGTTGTGACTTATAATGTCACCGCCCGATAGACCCACGACTGTCAGGTCCCGACGCTGCCTCCCTCCTCTGAGCATCGCACACGTTAATAGAAATAAGTAATATTTCATTTTAGTGAGTTAAGTGTAATTGTAAGTACGTGCAGCGGAAGCAGATGATTGTGGAAAAATTGAACTTCTCATTTCCTTGTGCACGTCAGTTGTGACTTATAATGTCACCGCCCGATAGACCCACGACTGTCAGGTCCCGACGCTGCCTCCCTCCTCTGAGCATCGCACACGTTAATAGAAATAAGTAATATTTCATTTTAGTGAGTTAAGTGTAATTGTAAGTACGTGCAGCGGAAGCAGATGATTGTGGAAAAATTGAACTTCTCATTTCCTTGTGCACGTCAGTTGTGACTTATAATGTCACCGCCCGATAGACCCACGACTGTCAGGTCCCGACGCTGCCTCCTCCTCTGAGCATCGCACACGTTAATAGAAATAAGTAATATTTCATTTTAGTGAGTTAAGTGTAATTGTAAGTACGTGCAGCGGAAGCAGATGATTGTGGAAAAATTGAACTTCTCATTTCCTTGTGCACGTCAGTTGTGACTTATAATGTCACCGCCCGATAGACCCACGACTGTCAGGTCCCGACGCTGCCTCCTCCTCTGAGCATCGCACACGTTAATAGAAATAAGTAATATTTCATTTTAGTGAGTTATGTTAATTGTAAGTACGTGCAGCGGAAGCAGATGATTGTGGAAAAATTGAACTTCTCATTTCCTTGTGCACGTCAGTTGTGACTTATAATGTCACCGCCCGATAGACCCACGACTGTCTGGTCCCGACGCTGCCTCCCTCCTCTGAGCATCGCACACGTTAATAGAAATAAGTAATATTTCATTTTAGTGAGTTAAGTGTAATTGTAAGTACGTGCAGCGGAAGCAGATGATTGTGGAAAAATTGAACTTCTCATTTCCTTGTGCACGTCAGTTGTGACTTATAATGTCACCGCCCGATAGACCCACGACTGTCAGGTCCCGACGCTGCCTCCCTCCTCTGAGCATCGCACACGTTAATAGAAATAAGTAATATTTCATTTTAGTGAGTTAAGTTAATTGTAAGTACGTGCAGCGGAAGCAGATGATTGTGGAAAAATTGAACTTCTCATTTCCTTGCACGTCAGTTGTGACTTATAATGTCACCGCCCGATAGACCCACGACTGTCAGGTCCGACGCTGCCTCCCTCCTCTGAGCATCGCACGTTAATAGAAATAAGTAATATTTCATTTTAGTGAGTTAAGTTAATTGTAAGTACGTGCAGCGGAAGCAGATGATTGTGGAAAAATTGAACTTCTCATTTCCTTGTGCACGTCAGTTGTGACTTATAATGTCACCGCCCGATAGACCCACGACTGTCAGGTCCCGACGCTGCCTCCCTCCTCTGAGCATCGCACACGTTAATAGAAATAAGTAATATTTCATTTTAGTGAGTTAAGTGTAATTGCTTTTAACCTGCAGAGACGGCGCTTCCTGGAATTCACTACTGGCCCGCTGCAGCCGGTTGCTTGCTGGGAGGTGGCTGCCTGGTAACGGGTGCCGACGACAATACCCGCTTGCGTCGAGACAGTTGGCGGGACTTGTAGCCCCATGTCCGCTTTCCGCATCTGTTGCAACACAGAGATGGCGAAACTGTTTTCTTCGTTTTACTTTTTTTAAGTTTAGCTTATATTTTCTGGAGTTTAAATTTCCGGAGTTTCTTAGGTTTTTTTAATTCCATAGATTTCCTATGTTTTCGTATCCTTTCTCAGGTTTTCCTGTGTTTTCTTAGGTTTTGTGTTTTTCTATGTTTTCTGATGTATTCTTATCTTTTTTCTTATGAATTCTAAAGTTATTTTGACATTGTTATCCTTTGTTTTCTTAGGTTATTCTTATGTTTTCTTATGACTCCTTATTGTTGTCCTATGTTCTCTCGGGGTTTCTTTTGTTTCTTATGTTTCTGTGATTGTGTTTCTATGTCGTATTGCTGGATTTGCTAGTGGTCATGGGAGCTGAATCCACGACACCCCGAAGAAAGAGGATGCGGTGGAGGTAATACCAAGTACTCACAGTTCAGATAGAATCATAGAAGTATGCATAGTTACAGATTATCATGCTGAAAATTAATTAAAAGTTAACATATCCTTGATGGTACTTATAGTTATTAAACGGTCGAGGTGCATCTGCATGTCCTCTCGAAATAACCGGTTGCCAAGCAGCCAAACCGCAACCGTTGCCACAGCTTGACGCACTGATGCTGATCGACCGTATGGTAATTGAATCGGGTTTTCGTCCCGTTCAGCTATCAAACCAACAAATAATTTGGTTTGATAGCAGCTACGATATGGTCTAAATCCAGTCGGCTTCTGGCGAGTTTAAGCAGCTCAGAGAACATTGGTTAAGTTTGCACAGTAGCGATTGATAGCAGTGCCGCATGGATTTGGTTGAAAGGATCATTCAGCTGACGTTCGCGATGATGAACAGTGTTCTCTTACCTGGACTGCTGGCAAGTGTGTCTACGTGGCTGGTGCAAGACTGCCGTGCTGAGCAACTGCTGACCGAATGTAAGTTCTCCCCTGACCTTTCCCGAACAACGTGTGCGCCTATCGCAGTGCCCTCTGCATTGCAGTGAAGCATGTAGCCCTGGCGGCGCAGCAGGCCGAAGCCAAAATGAGCAACAGCACCATCATCCTGCCCGCCCTGGAGGAGGACGCTGTGCCCGGGGTACGGCCCCCGCCCTATGTCGTCCGCACCCGGCTGGGAGGCCTGGCAACGTTTTACTGCGATACCGAGTCGCCGGAAGCGGCGCTGCAGGTCGTCTGGCGCCACCAGAACGCCACCATCCACGGCGACGAACTGCCGCGCTCCCCGAAAGGTCACTATTACCGGCAGGCTACCAGCCTCGACACGAGCTACCTTCACATCCACCGTGTCAGCCGAGATTCCGGCGGGGCGGTGGAGTGCTCGCTGCACTGCGGTCCGACGCAAGAACTGTGTCGCATGTGGACGTACTACCTGCTGCCCACACTGCGCCCCCGCGACGCCTTCCTGGCGCCCCTGCGCAACGTGTCCACGCCGCTGCGGACCTTCTCCATGACGTGCAGTGGGCGTGTCGACTGCAGCCGGACGGGGTGGGAGGCGCACTTCATCTGGAAGTACGAGGGGCGCTTCGTGGCGGCGCCCTATCACGCCCTACGCATCCTCGCCGGCAACTCGCACACCCCCGCTCTGCTGCACAGCACCATCGACGCCAACGTGTCGGCACAGTTAGCCCCCGAAACTTTCTGCACCACAACGCTGACCATGAGCATGAGCCCGGCGGTCAGTAATCGGCCGGCGAGGGTGGACTGCTGGCTGCGCACCGATCTCCACTCTCACACATGGTTCGTTCAGTCCGCGTACGTCCATTTCACGCCATCGCTGTAAACTTATAGCTTGTGTCTTCGTGAATTTGCTGCACGAATCGTTGTATGTAGAAAAATTTGGATTATGTTTTCTATGTTGCTGATATCAGATTAGGCTTCATTTTAAAATTAAAACTGTCAAATGATTTTATCATGTTTTTTATGCAATTAAAGTGGCGCTTGGTTGTTGCTTGATTACCATAAGGCATAAATATGCTGAATACACTATGGATTTGCTTATAATTATTCTTTGCGGTTCGATGGTAAATTTCCCCTAAATTTGAGCGAATTTTGCTCGACAACATTTCAACCTGGGATTTTTCATTAATTCGCCAGTTCCAAAACTGATGCTGCACCATAGTTTTATGGTTGAACTATCGATCACACAAAACGAAATGAATAATTTCACTTAATTCAATATGTAAGAAAGTTTTCATTCTGAGTTCTATCTGATTAGGCAGTAAAACTACAAAACGCGAATTATAAGTACAGACTGTATGTACAGTACATAACGCGAACACACTATTCTACGTTTAGCTAAATTTTGAACATGATTTCTTCCTTTTGAATACGTTACATGTGATAATCTTAAACATTTTTTTTCTCGCATCCAAGCTTCCTGACGACGCTACTCTGTGCTTGCAAATTTGCATCGTTGCCGGCGTGCCGCGCATTCAGCATTATTACTGAAAATTACAAACAAAATATGAATATTTTTACATAGTATAATTATCATAAAATCCAGTTTAAAGTTGGTACCGGTAAATTTATTGTTCAGTGTAATACATGTAATTAATTGCGCAGCTCGGTTACAGCAGTCTAGGGGCCACGTAACAGTACCGCACGGCACTGGCAAATAACCAGCCGATACCACCGGCACTGCGCGCGTTGTTTGTAAAAACAGGACAACATAATACGAGTATTATCGTTTGCATACACAGCGCTTTACGTATGTCGTGTTCGTAAGTACGATTTATGAAATAAGATTTCCAGAGATATGACCAACTAAGGAATTATCATTTCCCTGTACAACATGTCAAATGATGCTGTGGCATAAACTTATTACACCACAGTGCAAGTTATTAATGTACTTAAATGATTCAATTGAATGGAGAAGTGGCAGCTGGACTTTAAGACATCTTTTATTTTCATTTTTCCCTCAAAGTCTGCAAAACAACCAGTGCAGTTACTGCCGTGTACTCTGTAGGTCTGTTTGTGCGGAGAGCAGAGAGAAAACTGCACATTCTTCACCATTAAAAATGTGGGAAAAGCTAGCACAAGTTCTTACCGAAGCCGTGGATGTGGTAGGGAATATCCTGTCCGGAAGGCCAGTAATGTTTTGGCTTGAGATATCCAGCAAGGTCCACAAAGTTATCGAAACCGTTTTCAAGTTCCTCGAAGACAATGTCGTTGTAAACGTGAGGCACGGTCACTACAGAGAGAACCGTTGACAGCACTCTAAAGCACCATTGATTACCACAATGAAAATTAATTGGACCATACCGTACCTTCGTTAGACGAGTGCAAGCACTCTGCTGTTACTATCAGAATCCATGCACGTGCTATCCCAACCGTTGCGCGTTGCATGTTAATACAGACGGCTCTGTTGAGAACGGCTAGCGACAGTAGCTGTTAACTACAGATCCGCAAATATCGCAGGGAATAAAAATAAAATACAAGAATGCAGTGCCTGACCTTTGGAAGAACGACCTTTGGCTTTTGTCAACCAGGACAATATCAGCTGAGATAGCTGAGCAAATCAAAAAAAGCAGTTGCGCTATAATCCCAAGCTAAATGCAATTGCCATTCCGAAACCGGCAGATTAATCTAGAATAAACTGATCGTTGGATGAGGGTCCGCGTGCATTCGTTGCCTGGAGGGTTTCGTGGATTTTAAAGGCAGTGCGTGTAAATTGGATCATGTGAGCGTGCATCGAAGAACTTTTCACATTCACTTCTTTTGCTTTGTGGCCTTTGTGTCTTGTACATGAACGCACGTTTAGGCTACCGGAATTCTGAGACGTCTTACGCTTGTACTGTACGTATTACTTGCCTAGGTAGCAAAACTGATGCTCTTTGTGAATATACAGTATTACAGACACAGTTCCTTTCTCATATAGGGGGCAAAACTAGGCCTCTTCCACCGTTCCCCAGTACTGCTGCCGTCACCCGACTGGGGTTTGACGCTGTGGCTGAACATGGCACTTACGTACCGCGCCAGATTTAACCATATGCATTGCCGTAACGTCACACTCCAGGCGGGTGACGGCAGTAGTACTGGGGAACAGTGGAAGACGCCTAGTTTTGCCCCTTATATACGTGCAAGTTGCAACTATGTAGGTGCCGCAAATAATTGTCGAAAAGGAGGATTTTCTGCTAGCTGTTTCCTACACTAACCAGCACTAGCAGATGAATAACTCCGACCCCGGCCTGGACCGGACCCCGTATATTCATGCATGTGACCTTTCCACTGGCCTAAACGGAAAGGCGCCACCCAGCGGGTGACGGGAAACCGTGGGTTAACTCGATCAGCAGCGAGGAGACGGGTACAGGTGCTAATTTCTGGCGCCAGCGACTTCCGGTGGAAATGAAAAGCGGCGGGCGAAGGCATAACAATCAACTGCATGGGGGTAATTGGAACTTGCGAGGCATCCATATTTAACAAACAGCGGTGCAATTCCGTCGGCCAGTGGAAGTGAAGGGTTCAGCGTATTAGAAGCGGTAACTGCACCAGGGTCCACCCTAGCCGCATTTCGACGCCGCCGCTACCGCCCCGTTCGTCGTTTGCCAATTGCAATAGGCGTGCCGGATCTGAACGGCCCATAGGCAGTTACACGACATGAGGACTGGATGTCGATAATATTAACAGATGAAACACTTAACCAAACAAGGAGGAAAAGGTTGAGCAAAAACAATTTACTCCATGCTGAGTCATGTTTCGCTTTTAATACGATAGTAAATGTGGATTTTCAGGCAGTGGTGCTCCATTTAGAACTCTTCCTTTTCCAGTTGGCGGTGGTGTTTCTTGGTCAAGTACTGAAGTAGTCAAAAAATCAACTGCCTAATAGTAATTTAAAGGGAAATATCGATGCAGCAAAGACTCGAAGCACCTGAACAGATGTTTAAAATTAATACATACGAGTATGGCTGCCTAATTGCTCTGTGCAAGCGTATTTGCTCAGGAGGTACTTGCAGTTGCTCCCGTATGCGAAAGCCTATATGGCGCCGATGTAATCGGTGAAAGCAGCACCGCCGTTAACAAACCAACAACTGCGCATACATGCGTATATTTTGTCAATAGGATAGTAATTTTACACACTTGGCTAGCAAACGTATTGGCCAGGGATTGCTGTCAGTACTACCATTAAAACAATCGTTGAATAACGTATATAAACGAACTATTTTTTAAACGTTGTTGCCATTTTGCAAGCTGGAGTCGACAGGTAACCCGGCAATCTGGTGTTACGCACGCAAACATGAACATGTACCAGCAACCGGCACAAACAACAACGATTGGGAATACCAATCGAACTACACCAATACGCGTAATTACTTACATCAGAATATAATATACAAAATAAAAAAATCCAGCGGAACGGCGCGTCAATAGCTCTGTAAACGTACATTCCTGAACAATGTGCACGTAATAATGTACGCATAATGTACACAATGTACACGTGTACAATGTACACGTAATGTACACAATGAACAATGTACCCGTAATAATGTACACAGTCACCGATGATGGTTTCCCATGAATAAAAGCGGCTCTGACCAAACTCAAGTTCAAAGTCGAGCACAGGTACGCACAGCCATTACTTACTGCAAAGTTAATATTATACTGCACGATATTGCTGCTCTACTCGTTGCATTTGGATTGCACCGGCGCCACGCTTATCGCATACGGAGTTGACTATAAAACGTTGAGCGCGCTTGAAAATCTTCAGTAAATGGCCATATTCGATTCTGAAGTTGCATTTTGTTGTCTCGATGTTTGCACCTCGCGTAGCTGCCTTGCAAGCGATCCTTGTCCTTATCTCGCTTCGAATGACGACTGTATTTCCACCGCCAGGCATCTTACAGCACGATGTCCTAAAAATCAGTCCGACTGCAGAATCTCGTGAACTGTCCGCGGCTCTGACCAGCGATTATGCAACTTATATGTGCGTGTCCATAGGTGATTTTAAGAGCAGTAATTTTTATTACTGCTAACGATGCTAAACTGTCTGTTAACTGCACCGGTCAAGAGCACTATCCTCACACGGAAATACTTGCAGCTGTTAAGTGGCCGGTATTTATTTTATTACACTAATACTGGCCAATGAAGTACAGATACAACGCTTATTTCTGCCTATGTCTGCATATATCATATTACGATGTATTGTTATTATACAGTAGTATTTGTCTTACGGAAATACTTGCTGCTCTTGCTGAGGCCAGTGATCATTCCTGCACAAAGAGCATGAGATTAATAATGACCGCCAACGAGAAAGACACTGCCCTTAAAATCCCTCAGACTCGCCACGAGGAAACTGGAGGAAACCGACACTTTTGGCCTCCCATTTAGTCTTTTGGGCCATAACGCATCAGCGATTCAATATCGTATCGGTGTACGACATTGAATCGCTGATGCATTATGGAGCGGAAGTTTTGATAACTGCTCCAAGGCCGCTCCGCCGCCACGGTGCATGGGCCAGAAACTGTACACTGAATGGATGTCGCCATCTTGCCAGCAGCGTACAGCTGTTCGCAGCAGGGATTTCTACGGTCCTTGCACAGAAGTATTATGAGCGCAGACGCAGCAGATCGTCTCGTCCACTGCTTCCGACTCCAGCAGCCGTCGTCGAAGACTACGTACTCTGTACTACCGATCACGTTCCAGCAGGCAGCCGAATTACAAAGCTGAGCTGGAGGCAGCACCATCGCCGTAAATTACAGCAATTAGCTCACAATAGCTAAAATAAATTAGACACGTACAGTATTTCACTGATATCCGCAATTGCAAACAAAGGAAAATTTGATTCAAATAAAAAGTGTAATTGAGAGAATAATCCTTATGTATACATGCACATAGATTTTAAAATTGCCGGCTGTCCGCGGTTGCAACCAGTGGTTATTCAACTTGTGTGCGTGTCCTCGGTGATTTCAGGAGCAATAATGTTTATCAATGCTGACGATGCTAAACTGTCTGTAAATAGCGTCAAGAGCAGTGTACGCACACCGAAATACGCGCTGCTTTCGGTATGATATTAGTGGATTATGTTATTTTTGTTGAGCTATTTGAATTATCAGTATTACGACAACAACAATTTGTTTATTGTTGTGATAATGGTAATTCAGTGTAGTGATAGTGGTTTCCATAAATTTCCGGACCTCACTGGATATCTCGCGCCAAAAATTTAATGGTCTTCCAGACAGAAGTTCCCTACCACACCCGCGGTTCGGTTAAGAGCGTGCTGTTTTCTCTTCCTGTTCGACCACATTTTCACTTGTGAAGATTACAGAGTTTTCGCCCTGCTCTCCGCACAAATATAGACGTACACGGTAGTAATTGCACCGGTTGTGTTGCTGACTTTGAGGAAAAGGAAGTCAAAGATGCCTTAAAGTCCAGTTCTCATTATCTAAGGTTCTCAATTATCCGACACAATTAAATGGAGGAGCGACAACGGCGTCAAATTTTAGAAATTTTGAAAATTAGGATTTTCTGATGAAACAAATCAATTAGGAAATGGAATTTTTTGTAAGATTGTGCTGCCCATAGGTCAACGGTGGTGACTAGGATGTTTGCCAACGCCAATGTCCATGGACAGGTTACAGCACAAAAACGATTAATTTTGTAATAATTAGGCGAACGCAAGTTCCGTAAAAGCAATAACTTCATTAAATAGCACCAAAAACGTACATTTAAACAAGAGTTTAGAAGTGGTAAAACAAGTTGACCACGTTAAAACAAGCAGCTCTCTGGTTTAGCTTGCCCAAGCGATGCATCAATGTGTAGAAAGTTAGAAACGCGGGAAAGCGCACGGTGCTGTGCCTTCATTTAACAGTGTTACTGCAATGGCGGTAGAATTACAATACAATCAGGACTACCATTTTCGGTTTCCCTAAACGTCATGTTTTCCTGAAGCGGACAAATTGCGAGGCGATTTTGTTTTGTCACCGGCCGCCCGGGGTGGTGATAAGCAAAAGCGTTTTTGCCAGCTTCGGCAAATGGAAAAGCGTGGCGCATGTTTTGCGTACAAACCGACAGTAGCTTGATCTGATTAACTGATAAGAGAAACTGTCGAAATTGCACCCGCCCGTGTATTCGAGACCCTTCATTGGCAATGGAGTTGGCACGCAACACAAGTTTTTGGCGGACTGTGATCTTCTACAGTTCAACTCAGAGAACCCGTGTTAGTCGCTTTTGGATAGAACGTTGATAATTTTACCTTGATCATTTATCTCAGATTTAATTATTCATCCACTAATTAGTTAATCAGCAAGATCTACGAGCGCTTAGAAAAGTCCGAAAGTAGTCGTAACTTATTATTAAATAAAGAAAATTATTTAATAATAATTTGGCAGTAAGTACTTTAATATGTCCGTAGATCGCACAGTCTGCAGAAACATTGGCACTGACCGAGGAACGAAGTATACGCTGACCCCGATGCAGCTGAATATTTACTGCAGACATACGAGTATGTATAATATCGACAAGACTTTGATAAGACGACAAAACGGCGGCCGGCCAGTACAGTCTGTAGAACAGCTGAACAGAATCAAGACTATCGTAGGTACAATAACACAACAAGAAGTTGCGAAGACGTACGTAGAAGTCTAGAACAAGCAGGTACAAAGTATAACTAAAGTGGCGGAAAATGAGCATAACGGCGGGGGTAACACAGCTAAAGTGTGAGGAGAATTTTGCAAACAGACTCGTATGCTAGTCTAACACCATAGCTACATAAATTTCCTTTTCATTTACAAATTGATAGAAGACCCTCTGGGACGCCGTTGCATGGCGTGGTAGTGAATTACTGCGACGCCATGCAATGGTGTCCAAGAATAGCCCTCCACTTTCCACCCCATCACTTCATCACACCACTTTATCACGGCTAGTCTATCGGCATGATGGGATTCTGTACAAGAAACCGGCGTAATTGTGATAGCGCGTATGATGTGATGACAATCCTAGATGGCGTGTCGTTTAAGCTTCACACAATGAACAATCGCTGCCTCATCTTTACTGAACACAAAACGTAGCAACTGAAAAAAAAACAGCCTATCGGGGCGTTGCTAGGTAGACAACTGTACGGTAGACAGAATCTCAATATTACAGTATGTAAACAGCCTGTACGACTCATACAGGCTGTACGAATATGCTATATTATTGTATTCATTTAATTTTTTTTGTCCACACCCTTTGAGCCTCATCCCATGAAATTATTTTTTTTAATTGCACTACGAGTATTTAACACGTTTCCGCAATATGCTTTATCTAATTTTTATTTACCCGATAACTTGCATGCGTTTGCTTAATCCCGCAGTCGTTGCTACCTAATTCATCACAACTTTAATGTATATGCTAAGAATTAATGGTCTGCCATCAACAACATAGAGTAATCCTGATTTTCTTAAATACTCTGACCCCTGGAGCACATTCACGCCGAAACGAAGACACAGCATTCAACATCCTAAAGTATGGTCATCAATCATCAGTACAAATACCGTTACAGACTGTATAGTGTACTGGCTGTTACAGTACTAATTTTAATGATCAGTATCCCAACTGGGTTGCTGCTGTTGTATACGTTTACAAGAATGGCGTGAAATGGACGTACGCTGACTGAACGAACCATTGGCGGGTGTGGAAATCGGGGCGCAGCCAGCTCTCCACGCGCGAGGGTCGATTACTGACCGCCTGCATCATGGTGATGGTCAGCGTGCTGGCGCAGAAAGTATTGGGAGCTAATTGTGCCGCCACGTTGGCGTCGATATGGCTGTGCATTGGACCGGGGGTGTCACGGGCGCGCAGTGTGGGCAGCAGGTTGTAGGTGTGCCCGTGGCACGGTTCCGCAATGTAGGAGACATTAAGTACTACGCATAGATTGTCCGGGAAAGGTCACGGTCATAACTTACGAGCTGCTGATGATTGGCCAGCACTGCCGCTGTGCACTACACAATTAGTCATAGTAGCTAGCATTCCCAGTAAAAGAATACTGCTCATTTCCCGGTTTCAAGTGGAATTGGGAGACAAAGAAACGGTGATGACTCAGCAAGTCATCAAGGCGATGAATGACAACTAGAGTAGCTTAAGAATGCGTTCGATTAAGCTGCTGTAATTATCCGTAACGGTTATAGAGATAATAAGGAAGTGCGGTGATTGACAGAATGAGTGACTGTGTATTGAGTACAATCATGGCACAAATGAAGGTCTGAAGGCCTCTTGTCTGTATATTACATATACAGACAAGAGGTACGCTAACACAAGAGAATTCCAGTGTCTCAGGGCTATGGTACAATAGTCCAGCTCGAAAACCGGCACTCTCACATGAGCTGTGTATATTCACAATTCACAAAGAGCAGTTATGCACAAGGCCCGAAGTCTCATAACAAAAGAAGTGAATGCGAAAAGTTCCTCAAGGTAAGCTCACATGATGCACCTTACACGCACGGCCTTTATAATCCACGAAACCCACCAGCAAACGAATGCACGCGGACCCTCATCCAACGATCAGTTTATTCTGGATTAATCTGCCGGTTTCGGAATGGCAATTGCATTTAGCTTGGGATTATAGCGCAACTGCTTTTTCAACTGCCACCTCAGTTGATGTTTTCCTTGTTGACAAAAGCCAAAGGTCGTTCTTCCAAAGGTCAGAATTTTATTAGCTGCTAACATCAAAAAATCGTTTATCAAAAAAAATTAAGATGTCTTCGTTTGCAATGATGTATACTGAAACTGTTTGTAAGGTTTTCATGTCCCAGCTCGCAAAATTTAGAATCTTATTCCATTTCTTTCCAGCACGGAATTTTAGAACACTTCAACATGTTTTGTCTAGCGAAATCAATTTTCTTTTAATAAAAAAAAAAGGATGGACATGCTGCATGCGCTGGACGAGTTATGCTGTCATGATACAATGTGCGTTTCCCAAAAATACCGGTTTTTTATTTAATTTTTATGAGTATTTTTTGTTAAAATGCTTGTTGGCTGCTTGACAGGCTGCACCAATAAAATTAATGCCGGTTTAACTTTTAAATGTAGCTCACCTATTGCTCCTTCACAAACAAAAGTGAACCAGATCAGCTTTTAATGCGCTGGTCGGAAATTTGTTCTCAAAGTCTCTGTCTGGGCATTTCACGAGAATTGCTCGTGCGGAGTTTCAGTTACTCCGTGCACTGGCCAAATACGGTTGATAGAATATTGATCTTCCTTACTGTAAAAAAACGAGAAACAAGTTCAACAACCCCTCTACCCGAAACAGTAACGTGAGACACATGAATGTCCTTAGCTCAATAGCCGCATTTTTCGATTTAAAAATGGGTAATTTCAAATTTTGGCTTCCAGGATATCCTCCAAACCCCCCCCCCCCCAGTTTTTCAAAAAAATTCGTAAAAGTTTGTAGCCTTAGAGTATTTTTGGGTTTGACTTTGAAATTTTTACGTTAAAAACAATGCACTTTCGAATGAAACTAAGATGATGCAAATCGACTGTCGGACTGGTCCAGCGCGCCATGAATAATCAGACTGCTATTTTGTTCAGTCACCTGGCTACAGCGATATAATATTCGAAAGAACTTGAAAACGGTTTCGATAATTTTCTGGACCTCACTAGATATCTCAAGCCAAACCATTACTGGCCTGCCAGACAGGATATTCCCTACCACAACCATGACTTCGGTAAGAGCTTCTGCTAGGTTGTCCCACATTTTTAGTCGTGACGAATGTGCAGTTTTCTCTGTGCTCTTCGCTCAAACAGACCTACACGGCAGTAACTGCACCGGTTGCTTTGCAGACTTTGAGGAAAAAACGAAAATAAAAGATGTTATAAAGTTCAGCTTCCACTTCTCCATTCAATTTTATCCTATATATGTAGACACAAATGAATGGAGCAGCGACAACTGTATTAAATTCAGACCTCGACAAGCCGAGGAAAAATATATGTATCTTGATCCGGCATCCTCTCGGGGATAGAATAAGGTAAAGCGTTATCGGCTGCAGTCTGTAGTCCAGTAGTACTGCGGTAAGCTGTCTTGTTTTTCGCTGCATGGAAACTTCTAGACACACATGCCAAACGGAAACTGGTCGCGTTGTCGGTCGTCCCTCGAAAGTGGCAATGCATTCACGATGCTGAAGTCCCATGCAATTATCCAAGATGAGATTCTTGCCCTGGAATTTCTTCACTAACACAGTCGCGGCGATCGGGATGATCACATCAGAATAATTGCCGGCAATATATATTTTTCCTGTTTCTATCGCTTACGTCCCATGACATAATATGTTATGGGACATAAGCGATACAATCTGACTAAATGATTAGGCTACGGTCTATGTTAAAAAGCCAGCGAACAGCCTTTTTTGCCCGCTGAGGCTGGTTGATCAATGCAGCCTCTCTGTTGTGACTATAAATAGACCGAAGACAGCGCATTTCAGTGCTGCCAAAAGCGCAAGCGGACTGCTGCCTTGCTGTATCAATCGATCGGGACATGTGTGTGTGAGTGGGTAAATCCGCTCGCATTCACGTACACACGTATGAGTGTGGCTGTTTGTGCGCGTACTAGCTGTACAAACCGGTTTTCGCTGTCTTCGCTACAACGCATACCCTAAACCCGTAGCCTTGCCCGTAGCTTCCTTTCTTGCTCGCATTGTATAAGCTGGAAACATCTGCCGCAAGTGGCCACATTTGGCCTATCCTACGACGTCTAATCGCTCATGCATTATGGACCGGAAGTGCCGATCAGTGCGGACCGGCCATCGTATCGCTTCTACCGTTAACTTTTCAACGTACTTTTGCACTACTTGTTCTGTTCGATCACTTTACGTTCAGTACCATTTCTTACCCAGTTGCATTTACACTACCATTCATTTCTATTAATACCAGGGCCGTCTTCCCGTACAGGACATATGCCCGTTGGAAACGGTTGCTGGAAACGGTAAATGATAAAAATGGCAGACAGCCACGCTTTAACTACTCAGCGGGTTTGCGAAATTAATTGGTTTTTTTTAAGTTTCCCTAAACGTTGCAGGATGGACTGCGTCATTGCTGGGTAACGTTGCAGGGTAACGAGGGCAGAACTGCGTCACTAACAATGTGAGTTCTTCCCACTGCCTCATATTATGGATCTCCTCCCTGTGCTTTTCCGATACGTGCCGGTTAGACTGGTTAAGTTTCCACAGCTGGTCGATTCCTTCATAAAGACAGTGTCGTATATCTACAGATACATGTAGCACCAATGGATTATTTATTTATACGATGCTCGCTACGGAGGCAACCAAGCAACCAAATGCTTAACATCAGAACAACACTGGAAATGCTATCCCGTTGCTACAGCGCATTTTCCGGAGGACATCATCCGGATTCACGGGATACTCGTACAATCATCATTTGTACCCGTACATCATTTGTACGAGTGCGTACATTCACTACAGACAGCAACTGAAAAAATTAAAAAATTTTGTAAACTGAAATAGGTTAGTGTAAATTAATTACTTACTTAAAATTAACTTGAATTGTGGGCATGGTGCCACAATAACGCTTGAGATGTTGTATATTATGGAAACGATAATTCCTCAGTTGGTCAGATCTTTAGAAATCTTATTAATATTGTAATAAATCGTACTTACGAACACCGGTATTAACTACAAACTGGATATTATGATAATAATATTATGTAAATCTATCATATTTTGTTTGTTATTTTCAGTTACCGGTAAATACTGAATGCGCGACAACGATGCAAATTTGAGTACAGAATAGTGTCGTCAGGAAGCTGGAAGAAAAAAAAATCGTTTAAGATTATCACGTGTAGCATATTCGAAAGGAAGAAATCTTGTTTAAATTTTAGGGTGACACTATAGGCACCCCAAAAACCCCCGTTTACTATAGGCACCCCTTTTCCGCACCCCGTTAATTAAAGGCACCCTCATCTTATTAATTGATTCTTTCGTGCACCCTGTTTTTTATGGGCACCTCTATGAAACTTTGGCATACTACTGTATACTGTAATTGTAGTGTTAGAACCTGGATACGGTAACTGTGAATCTGTGATCGCAAAAGTATGGAGAGGCAGATTAGTACTTAAGGATATTACAAAAACGTTAACAAACCCAGTCCCAGAAAGTTGCGTCGGAAGAAGTCGTACGAGTTTACAACAGTATAAACAGCGATCTATCGCCGCATATACTGTTGCAGCTGGCCATGTTATATGGAGACGAGGTCACCGTCGTCGATGTTATGTTCCCCCTTGTTCAGCTTCAGAATGCTTGGTCGAATCAGTGTGGCCCGTTAGTTCGTGCCTTCATGGCCGAAATCATCGCGGGCCTGACACCAGAAGGTACGGTTTTTACAAAAGCCGAACCGCACTGAAAATGGTTAGCAGAAGCGCTGGACCAGGAGGAGGCCACCCGGTGTCCGAAAAAAAATTACCGCCGACGATGCCATCCTCAATAGATCTAAGTTAGCAGATCAGCCTCACCGCCCGATCATCGGATGGAAAGCCTGAATTTCTGTCTGCATGCGAGTACCTGTATGAGACTGACGCACGTTCATGAAATCATTTTCGAATTCTGTATCCGAAATATGCTATTAAAGGGTGCTTATAAGATACACTGACAGGGTGTTTCTAATTAATAAACAGAAAAGGGTGTCTATAAATTACGGGGTGCGAGAAGGGGTGCCTATAATAAACGAGGGTGTAAGGGGGTGCCTATAGTGATTTCCTAAATTTTAACTGCACGTGGAATAGTGTGTCCGCGTTATGTACTTTAATTACCATCAGCACGCAATGACTAATTATGAGCAAATCCACAGTGTGTCCAGTATATTTATGGTAACCAAGCAACAACCGAGCGCCCGGGAAATTGTAATCACTTCAATTGCAAAAAAAATAATGAAATCATTTGACAGTTTTAATTCTAAAAATAAAGCCTAATCTGACATCAACAAGGTAGAATAATCCTAATGTTCCTACATATACCGATTCGTGCAGCAAATTCACCCGGAAATGAAGACACATGCTGCAAGTTTACAGCGATGGCGTGAAAGTGACGTAGGCCGACTGAACGAACCATTGGTGGGTGTGGAGATCCGGGCGCAGCCAGCAGTCGACGCGCGCCGGCCGATCACTGACCGCCGGGCTCATGCTCATGCTCAGCGTGCTGGCGCAGAAAGTATCGGGTGCTAACTGTGCCGACATGTTGGCGTCGATATGGCTGTGCAGCAGAGCGGGGGTGTGCGAGTTGCCGGCGAGGATGCGCAGATCGTGATAGGGCGCCGCCACGAAGCGCCCGTCGTACTTCCAGATGAAGTGCGCCTCCCACCCCGTCCGGCTGCAGTCCACACGGCCGCTGCACGTCATGGAGAACTTTGCGCAGCGGCGTGGACACGTTGCGCATGGGTGCAAGGAAGGCGTCGTGGGCGCGCAGTGTTACCAACAGGTCGTACGTGCGCAGGCGCCACACTTCCCCATCCGGCCCCAAGGGATCCAGACATTCCACTGCCCCGCCCGAGTCGCGCTTGACGTGGTGAATGTGAAGGTAGCTGGTGTCGACGCTGGTCGCCTGTCGGTAAAAGTGACCTTTAAGGGAGCGCGGCAATACGTCGCCGTGGATGGTGGCATTCTGGTGGCGCCAGACAATCCGCTGCGCCAACGCAGGTGAACCCACTGTACAGAAAAAGGTCACCAAGCTTTCCAACCGGGCGCGGACTGGATAGGGCGGTGGCCGCACTCCGGCGACGATATCTTCCTCCAGGGCAGGTAGGATAATGACATTGTCGGTCATATTAGCTTCGGCCTCCCGCACCGCGTCTGCCGTACGCTGAACTGCAATCCAGGGTCTGGCGTTTAGCGGGATAAGAGCTGCTTATGTCAGAAAGGTCACTGTTCTATCTTACGTGGTGTCGATTCTGTTGGCTGTCGTCCAGCAGTGCATCCTGGCACCATGTGGCTCAGCATAATCGCCAACGTTCCTAGTAAGAGTGTGCTATAGCGCATGCTGTCCACGATAGTCCGCGCGCGACGTGAACTCCTAGCCACTACAGTGGATGTGACAAAGGTGGCAACATCCACCGATACTCTGTGCATTTCCACAATGGGTAAGCGCTAAGGCCATTTTCAACCTCATTGTACACTCTGCAACCATGCTTACTTACTATCAGCTTTCCGGGAAATCGATGGAGTATACACCACGCTATCGCACTTAGAGTAAAGTATAATTATAGTGTAATGGTTGTTGCAGTTGAACGGGAAAGAATGCCGATAAATTTCGTATCACTTCAGCACTTGTTAAGCTTTAGCATCGGTTCGGCTGCTTGGCAACCACTATAGAATGCATAGGTAATTTCCGACTCCGGCTGTATCCGCTGTCGTCGACAGCGGATACAGCCTTGGTTGTGGTAGCCTTGGTTGGTGTCTTGTCGACAGCCTGTCGACAAGACACCCAACCAAGGCTGCCACCCATTTCGCCAACCGCTAACAGGACAGCAGCAGTTCGAATCGAAACAACCACGAATAGTTCGAGAAATTTTAAAAGTAGCCAACAAAAACCTAGAATAAAACCTAAGAAACCTGAAAAACCTTAGGAATATCTAAGAAAATCTAAGAACCTAAGAAACGTACACCTACGAAAAAGAAAACCTAAGAAAATCTAAGAATCCTAAGAAAACTTAAGAAGACAAAAACAGCAAAAAAACTTAAGAGATCTAAGAAACCGGTGCGCTACCATTCGACATAGGGACATTTCGGCATAATATTAAAATAAATTATTGTTTAAGAAATTTATTGAGCTATGCAGTTTACCGAAGCTATGAAATTTGTAAGAGCGAGCAACGCTAAAAATTCCAAGAAGGAAATCCTAGGAAACCTAAGAAAACCTGGGCAAATTTATGTAAACCTTATAAAACCTAAGAAACATTAGAAAATTCAAAAGAAAATTTAGGAAGGCAAAAAAACCAAAGAAAACCTGACAAGGTTAAGATACAAGAAACCTAAGAAAAGAAACAAGAAACCTACGAAACCTAACAAGAAACCTAAGAAACCAAACAAACCTAAAAGAACCTAAGAAACCTAAAAAAACCTAAGAAACCTAAGAAAACCAAATATAACTTAAGAAGCATCTCTGCCAAAAAGGAACTGGAGTACTATTATGGTAGCAATTCAACAGTCCAGCAGCAGTCAAACATGGTTGACTGCGGTATATCTGCAATAGCCTTTGCTGCGGAGAAGCTGTCTAAAAGTGATCCCACAACTTTGAGCTAAGAAGCTGTCTTTTGTGAAAATAAAAAAACACACCTGCAAGAGTTATAAAGGACTCTATAAAAACGTTTCCTCGTGTCGGCGGTAGAATGTCGAAGGCTGCAGCACCTAGTATGTTAACGTTTCCGCTATAAATATCGTCTCAATCATTTATATATGTAGTATCATTGGCGTTTGTAGCGAAAGAAACCGGTGGCCAATATGACTGTCGTAGTGGTATTAGCGAACTGTAGTGCATACGAAAGTCAGATGACCTTTTGTAGTGCCATTAGCCAAATCGTTATGTAGACAGGTTTTCTTTAATTTCAATAGCACGATAACAATATCAAGAATTAGTTTCACTTAAACAAAAAAACATTCTCTACAGTACCCATAACAGAAGCGGCATTACCCCTTTGAATTGCTAAAGAAGTATTCTGCCTCAAAAACTCGTGGCTGCGAATCTCGCCGGTTTGTAGCTCGATCCTCTTTCCGACTTCTTTAAGCAGCTTCTTGGCTGATGTACCAAAACTTCCGAAAGTTTCAATCCGACGGCAGCAAACTCATATCGTCCTGACAGGAAGTTGTATTTTCTCACTTTATCGGCTTCGGCTTGGTCGGCTTGCGCTCCGGCTTTTTACGCTGGTGTAATCCAAGTAAGACCGGGCAACGGTGTCGACAACGGTTACATCCCACGCCAAACACAGCCCTCTGGCCCAGGGAAAAGTGGTGATACCAATGAAGACTGTAGTGACAATACAGACTGTAGTGACAATAGTGTTTTGTTGTGAAATGTAATTAATTAGCCCAAGACAATAAAAAGATACATTGAGGAAAACCTGCTTAGATAAAAATTGTTTACTGGTGCTGGTTCGGACATCCTAACCACTGTCCTCCCCAAACAGTAATTGTTTTATTACCATTTCCCTGCTTCTCAACGCTTTCCATGATTACTGATGAGATGACACCGAATGGTAATGGCATTGGCATCCATGTTATTATCTTAACGCCAATTTGTTACCAAACTCTCCAACATAAAGTACGGATGTCTGATTTTTTACACGAGACGTAACGTTTCTTGCTGATTTCCGGTTTCATGCCTTTTGGAACTTTAGACAACAAAGGCTGTATCTTTGGCCGACTCCAGTGCACTTTATTTATGCGTAAATTTTGCTAAAATATGGACTTAAACTTACTGCGAGAAGCCAATAGGACTGGATGTAAGAAAGCGCCCAACTTATCTCGTTGAATATTTATTGAATGGCTTTAGTAAAACATATGGCGAAAAATATGGGTAAGAAAAGCAGAACGAGGTTGCGAGGGGAGACCGAAAACATAAAGAAAATACTTTGGGAGCGCCCTTTGAACAGTGTTTAATGCACACTGGCCAGAGAGTTGTTGTTAAGGTTTTCTATAACATTTCTAAGATACAGTGGTGCACTGGCAAGAGCTGCGCTTCGGTCTGCCAATGCACCAGTCGGTGCATTTTCCTAGCATAACAGCTAAAGCGACAGATAGTAGCTAGGCTTGAAAACAGGTGGCAGTCCAGAAGATATGACATTAGCCATTTTCCCTGATCATTTGCTGGTTTCATGTCAGACAGTGAGAAAGAAAACCATGAAGTCATTAAGGCGATGAATGACAACTTGCAAAACAAGCGCGAAGCGGCTGCTGTAATTATGATGGCTACAGAGACACGAACTTTTTAAAGTGGTGTAGTAATTGATGGGTTGAGTGACTATATTTATTGAGAAGCCAAGCCCGAAAACGGGCACTATTTCACTTATTATATTTATTCACAAAATGCATGTCTTGTGCTAGGCAAGTCACTCACTGTAATCCGTTAAACACCGTGCAATGGCGTGCAACACGTCTCAGAATTGCCGCAGTCTAGACCAACATAAAGCGTGTCATGCACAAGGCACAAAGCCGCAGAACAAAAGAAGTGAATGTATGTGAAAAGTTCTTCAATGTACAAGTTCTCCAACGCTCAAATGGTGCAGCTTTAAACTTACTACCTGTAACTAGTACCATGTAGAAATTCGAATCACGCTAGCTCCAGTATATATTGTAACTGTAATAACCTCCAATCGTAATTACTGAATCCTACTGCGCTTCGAAGTACACAGTGTCCGCAAAATCCAAGCCGTTTAATATATTTCAGTTTAATTCGGGTCAGAGCAGGTAGCTGTAGCCTATTTCCGACCAAAGTGAAAATCTGGCATTCCACTTTAAATCCTGGCTGAGTGCAGTTTGCTGTGACAGTTCTCCAAGTCTGCAAAATGTATTCACACGCTAGTCTGCTGTTTGCATGCGTCTTGGTGCTACAAGGAGCACGTTCTAACTCTGGTAAGATAATGCATCATACTGTAAATTTGTAGTCGGGTCCTTTTTAAGCTTACCAGCGGCAGCAAGTAAAAATTAATGGCACGGTGCCAGTGATGGCACCATACCAGCCGTGGTCAAGCGGCGAGTATCTGACTTTCGCATGTCACGCCTTTCGAAGCAGTTTTGCGAATATAATTCTTTACAATCTGTAGTTTTCCTATACGCCGAGTTAGCCGCATCGTTTAGAGACTGGTGTGTGTATATGTACAATTTCAATACAACTTTGAGAATTTTCGGAACTTTCTTTAAATATTTGAAAAATTTCTGAAAATTACCGTTAGTCCAGATTCGGCTCCATAATTACTGTATGTGCTTACACAACAGAATTTTTAAGGAGATCTGAGGAACTTCTTCAGTGAATGACCATACGTTTGTATAATCCTTAACTTGCACTGTATTATTGTATCATATTACTGAAAGTGTTTTGTATGTGTGGTCCAGACGACATACTGGCTTTATCGAATGACATTATTTGGACATGGGAGGACGACGAGGGCCGCTTCCTTAATTCTGTACAATTAACGGGAAATCTGGGCCCGAGGTATACTGGCCGAACCCTAGCCATATTCCCTATGATTTTCATAATTTCAGTAAGTGGTTACAGAAGTAGGTTTAATAACCGACTTCGTGGTATGCAGCTTCCTGCCTTTTGACAGTTAAGTGATGTTCCTGCTTTAATCTTGATAACGGAAGTCTCCTAATTACTCTGTGCCGCTTACCAGGGAATCCACTCAATCATACTCTCACGCGTCCACATCTTACATGTACTTATGTACATAATCGGCCGAAGCGAAGCGAAGATCCCTTATGTTCAAGAAAACAGGAATTTTGTCGGGCACGTCGGTCATGTCGGTCACGCCTCAATCATTTTTAAAAAAAAATATGAAAAAACACACCCAAAAATATTAAATAAAAAAGAAAAATTATTTTTTGAATGAAAAATTTATTTTAGAAAGTTTCAAGACAAACTCAGCAAACAGTTGTTTCACTGCTTCGCTTCGGTCTTTTAGTGCAAGCCACCAGTTTCCTAATAATAGCGTTATCGAAATAACTCAGCAGGGAAGAGTACTAATAAAAACTATGTAAAAGAGAATGTTTTTATTTCGCAACAGCCATCAACCTATCAAAGAACAGCCTCGCGGCTATACCACTTAAGATGAAAATCAATTTAAACATAAAATGTAGCTCTTAAAAGCTGCAGTTGTAAATATAGTTGTAATAATAAAGGAAAAGAAGAAATTACTAAGGCCCCCCCTTTTCAACCCCGTTTTTTATAGCCACTCCTTTTTGCACCCGGTTTTTTATAAGCACCCTTTTTAGCACTGCGCCCTAGCCGACAGCTGAAATTTGGTAAAAAATTAATTTCAAGAACCAGAATGATTTTTAACAACCGTTCAATAAATTTCGGTGGACTGGAATTTTGTAAAGTCTTATGGCCATTGAAGCCACCAAGAATTCGGCCGGCGTCTTTATTGCACAAAAATGTTCCGGCCGGCAAAACATTCTACTGGCGTGTCGACTTTAGCATTCAGAACTCAACAAGTACGAGAGTTTTAAAGAGAATAATTAAAGAAATAGTTAATACCACCATTAATTTGATATTAAAGTCTAGTAATGTTCTTTAACGTGGCTGCATGCAGCATTATGTGCATTCTTCTACCCAGCGCAGTTCGAGTTCCGCTGAATACACAAAAACGGCCAAACGAAATTCATCTAAAATTTCTACTGCAGATCCACACTGATAACAGGGGTTTCACGTATAAAATTTACACATATCAACTGGTTTGGATTTTTAATAAAGTCGGGTGGGTGTTAAGTTTCAAATTCTTCGGATGTTTTGTGCTCTTAATACCCCCGTGTCGCTTATATAGACCGTAAACGACATGGGGGAATTACTAATTAGAACTGTAGTTACTAAGTCAGTGCGTCACAATATCGCAAAAAGGATAACACTGAGGTACAGTTTTATGTACACAAAACACCCGAAATCTGCTACGAGTATTTTCGCCTGCACTTCTGCATGTCTCTAAAGCAATTAAGCAATCAATTCGAAAGCTAAACCGTCATTCCATTTCAGATCAAGGAGAGCGAGATTCTATTAAAGATGCGCTGGAAGCCATCGAATGGCGAACTGGAGACTGCCTGACGTTTAAACCCCGAACAAATGAGACTGAGTACATCTTTTTTAAAGGTAGAAAGGGAGTGCAACCCAGGTAAACCGATTTGAAAATTATTTGCAATTGTTCAATTCCAATCTGAACTGTTAATAGCTGTATGGCGGACGTCGGTCGCACTCGCGGTCGTGTCACTAGCGTCGTTATGCACCCGCTATGCTTGAAGGCTACAGGCATCATCCAGCACGAGATCCTCCACGCCCTGGGCTTCCTGCATGAGCACAGTCGCCCGGATCGCGATGACTATGTGACAGTTAACGCCAGCAACATAGTGCCGGGTATCGATCCCAGAAACTGGGTAAAGCTGCGAGAAATGGAGACTTTTGGTCTTCCATACGATCTAGAGTCCGTAATGCACTACGGCCCAGAAGTGTCCATCAGCCCAGACCGGCCAGCTATCGTGCCAAGAACAACTTTACTAACGCGTTGGATGGGTCAGCGGCGCGGTCTCAGTTCCTGGGATGTGGCCAAGCTACAGATTGCATACAAATGCAATCGTTTTGAGGGCCCGTTGAGATCCCTTGATTCCTCTAGGACAAATACACCGGAGCTCGACGTCGACGTGAAAACCTTCACAGCTTCCTTCTATTTGCTTCCAAACGGGTCATACGACCCACAGCTGCAGCAGCCGGTTGTATGGTGGCAGGATAACTCCTTCTCCGGGTGGTACGGCACTGCTGCCGCCAACCCGCTCCTTTCTCCCGCCATCGTTACCTGTTTGGCGTTATTAATGGCGGCGTAATACAAGCAAGGAACTCGCTGGTCCGCTGAATAAAGCAAAGTGTCTATAAAATTAACACCCATGAAAGTGGTGTGTTGGCTGTATGAACCGTTCGAGCTCTGCAGTCCGCTTCGGTTATCGATGTGAACAAAGAGCCGTTTTATTTGCGCTTCGACGGCTTCAACTATGTATTTTAGCACTCCTGCAAGCATTCTAATCACTGATGCTGTTTTTAATAAAAAGATGAACGGAACTTAATTGCACTCATGCTAAATAAAGTAACCATATAACTGCAACAAATACCAGAAATCGAGAAAGCCTCCGTTTCACTGACAGAGTGACAGTATATTTCTACAGAGTAGAAAAATTAATAGATCAACTGTAATAAATAATTTTACTAACAATTCAATTCAGAAACACGTGTAAGCGTGTTGAAAACAGCTTCATTAATAATAAGAAATTATGATTCAAAACTTTATTTCGGCAGCAGCCAGTACATAGTGCTACACGCGTGCGCAGATGAAAACTAATCAAAATGATCAAAATTTAAATGTCAAAAAAACAGCCAAAGTCATTACTATCATTCGTGATCTTCGGGCGTGTATCCAATGTGCCCAACACTGCTGCTGCATTCCCTCCGACTACCGCTAGGCTTAAACGCTGTTTCAAAAAGGCCGTAGGTGAATTCGCGGATCTTCCGGCCGGCGAATCGGATCAGTTCGGCAAAAACCGTTCCAAAAATCCCGAACGTCTCGACTGCCAAGGAATAAAAGAAATATTCCATTCTTTCGATGATGACGTATTTCCGGCGTTTGCAGTCTTCAGCCAGCTGTGCTACGCTTCCGGCTTTCATCGAGCTAGCGGGTACGTGAGACACAGCTACAGTGTCCCAGCAGGTAGAATCCCACACAACTGCTTTACCATCGCGTACAGGAACCAAAGTCATACCATCAGGCCGCGAGTTACTGCGATCACACAAACCAGACGGTTCCATTTGACAGGGATAGCCGGCGATCTCCATAACACGCTTCGTCTCATGGTTAAGCTCAACATGTCGCGACCATCTTCCCTTACTGCTCGAACATGACAAACCGTGGTGGCTGTTTACCTCCACTTGGCTTCCACAATGAACGCATTCGTGCTCCTCTACCACGGGAAGCCCGAATCGAAAAGCAACGCCAACTCTGACGTCATCATCCCACCAGAAAGTCCGAAGATTAGGTGCCGGCAGTGCGTTGATCCACGCCGGAGTCACGCTGTAAAGCGACCAACAACACTGCTTTATCCGTCTCCTTCGTGGCGGCCAGTCTCAGCGATGACACTCGGCCAAGGTTAAAAAGAGGAAGGAATAAATAAAGGAAGTAATTATTTTGGTCAAAAAGAGGAAGGAATGTTTTTTTTTGTGAGAAAGAGGAAAAAATGTCGATGGTCAAAAAAGGAAGGAAATTTCTTGTGTGGCGAAAAACTCAAACGTGGGTCATAAGAAGCAGAAATGGCATAACGGTTTATGAAAATCTTTTTTTGGGATCGCGATTTTTGAAAGTTTTGAAAGCATGTACTTAGTCTCGTATAAGCCCGTTAGAGCGCCGCGTTTGCAGTGTAAGAAGCGGTATTAAGCACCATTGTATATCCAGGCTCCGTACATTATGTACAATATTAATTAACAATAATCTTAACAATTTCACTAATAATACGTTTATTGGGCAATAGCCGCCAAAACAACAAAAAGTGCAAGCGCGGGCACACTACTTTACAGTTAAAATTTCACTAATTAATAAAATAATAGTTATAGTATTGTACTCTAGCTAGCATTGTAATTATAGTATTGTACTTAGTAATTCTAGCATCATAATAATTTATACTGAATACTATTAGTATTATTCTAGTCTTATTCTTCTGTAGTATTAGTCTAACTATCTTAGTTATTATGTTGTTGATTAAATGTTTATTATGCGTACTTCCACCATGTCATGCTTCCACGCAAGCTGGTAAATTGCTATAATTATGATTGCTCATTAACGAGGTGGTCGCAGTGTTTCGTAGCAGTTGCATGTGCATAAGTTTCTGACCAACTAAACTTTTAGTTTCTACATAGTACTACCATGCGTGACTGCGTCACTGATAGGTGCAAAAAAATTACTAGTTAGCTAATTAAATAATTAACTAGTATCAACATTTGGCCAACAATTGCCGAGCGGTATATCTAATAAATTAAAATAATCTGTGAACTTGACAAATACTCGTATGATGGCTTGAACTGGACTGGTAACTTTTCACGGTAATAATCCACAGTATTTGAAGGTGTACGGATTGCACTTTAAAGTTTAACGATTAAACGGTAAAGAGCAGTAATCTTTGGCGCTTTTCAAACATCCCGCTTAATGCAAATATGTGATGCATCAATGGCGTGCAACAATTTGGTATTTCATGACGTTCAAAATTCAGTTTTTTTCCGCATACTTCACAGATACAGTCGGTGGTGGTACAGATGTTTCAACAATGAGCCGAGCTATTAAAAATGCCGAATAGTAGTATGAACTTCAAGGAGTATTTCATTTTTTGAATGTGGAACTGCTCGGTGAGACATTAGAGGCAACCGCCACTGATGCGTATTCTTTGACCAAAAGACGGATTCAAGCTCTACATGACTCAGCACTTCAAAGCGCTTTACCTAGATCGCACTGTACGTGCTCCATAATAACGGGCAGCCTGAAATTTATGACTACGTTATTGCCAGTGCACTGCTGACACTAATGACTAATCTGTTGCATTCGGCGGCTATCATCACGTGACCTGACCAACGCACAAACACACAAATGAACGATATGCATACAGACCTCTGCATACTTTGGTACAGCTGAATGCGGTCGCACTGTTTTTGGTTTTCTAGACGTTTAAACCGTTTTTGTCTATCTACGTACATTATGGTGTATTACAGCGCTGGTACACACTAACTAAAATGACGTTTTAAATGTGCCGGCTGTCCGCGGCTTATGAGAGTTTCCTTATGAGAGTAACTGCTGGCTGTAGCAGGTTGTCGCGGCATGGAAATACTGTCTAAACACACCGACAAAGCGGACGTTGGACGCCTTGCCGGCCGTCTAATCTATTCCGGACTACGGTTTGTTTCGAACCGACCGATCTGATATTCACGGGAAGCAGCGCGGTGGAGGAATCATCTGCTATATCTCCTACTTCATTAGCGCCGTTCGTATAAAAGCAAACTTTCAGGCTAAGGGCTTTGAGTGTTTGTGGTTAAAGTTGCGTATTTCTGGTCGGAAAATCATCTTGGGTATTGTATACCGTCAGCCAGAGAGTAATACGTCAGAGACCCACATGCTGTTTGATCATTTGCGGGAGGTCTTAGTGAAGTACCCTGATTACGACCATGTTATTATGGGCGATTTTAATATCGATATTTCTCCTAATTCTAAAAGCCCTTTCTACAAATTGTCCGTCGATTTTATTGAAGAGTTTTTGCTCGCAGATAATGTAATCGGGTATACTCGAGTAGCGCAGTACTTGAAAAAACCCGATAATATCCTGAACGTATCCCAGTCGAAGATCGACCACATTCTATGCAGACCAACCAGCTCGTATTTGCCGTGCTTAGCAGCAGACACTGATATCTCCGATCACCGCGTTTGTAAAACAGTTGCAGCTTATCCATGTTAAAGAAACCGCAGCATCGCACGGCGAGTTTTTGAGACTGGAAAGCGACGCATATCGATTTGTTTAAAAATAAAGTTTTTGAGTTTACCAAGAAATATGTTAATTACGTCGACGGAGCAGCAAACAAAATAACTGCAGTACACGTACTTCCAGTAATTTGCGAGTGGCTTAATGTAAATCGTTTGGTTGTCAACGAAAAAAGTCCAAGTTGCTTTTGATTTCCTCCGCGTACAGCCGGGATAAGAGTGTCGCATCGGTTGATTTGAACGGGCATAAGTTAGAACCGGAAGAATCAGTGGAATACCTGGGGGTGATAATTGACAAGCATTTGAAATGGACCGACCAAATTAAAAAAGTCCAAAAAAGTGCTTATCATGGACTCGCCTTGATAAACAGTGTAAAGGACGCCCTGCCAGTAGCCCAACGCCTTGGACTTTACCACGCATTTGTCCAGACACATCTGGACCGTTGCTCAATTGTATGGAGCGGTGCGCCTGAGTCCACGCTGGAACCATTGGCAATCGTCCAAAGAAAAGCCGTTCGAGCTATCGCCAATTATTGGGGAATATCGGCCAATCAACTAATGGAACAGTATGGTATTGCGCCATTGTTTAAACGATGGAAACAACAGGAAGCAACTTGGCTTTACAAAATTCTGCATCCCGAAAAGTTCCAGCTTCCCCGCTATCTCACCGAGATGATCGTAGTGAGGCAGTCGTCCAAACCGTATGACCTTCGAAATGGAAACCGCACGTTCATCGAAGCGGAAGGATCTACACGAACCGGAAAATCTACGCTCGCTTGGAGGCTGAACAATGTTAGGAGCCAGCTAATTGAGGCCGGGAGTGACATTCTCACTAGCAGTTCTCTTGCTGTTTTTCGTAATGCATTGAGGCTTGTTAGCATTGCTTAACTGATGACCTTCGTTTTCTACATACTGTTTTTCGAGTGGCTTTTGCTGAAATTTCATAAACCTGATTTTTATTACTGTTTTAGCCAGGTTTAGATTCCCACGCTAGATTTCGATCCTAGTATTTAATGGGTTACCTGCCTCCATTTACAATAAACAATAAACAATAAACGTCCGGCATCTAGATGACGTCCAGCATCGCGAATGCATTGTCAGTTTATCACTGACGATGCACTCGCAATTTCTAACGTCATCTGGAAGCATCCCACAGGATATTATGTACGCATTGGGATTTCTGCACGGACACCGTCACGGGGATCGGGACGCTCCTATTATGATTAAATGTCAGCAAATCTTGTGGGGCATAAAAGAAAGAAATTGGAGGAAACTGCCGCAGATGTGCCCTTTGTTACCGAATCCCATAAAATAAAGCAAGTAATTATTATTAGACTGTACAATGATCATGTACTATGTATAATACCGAACCTTAAAACATTAAGCGCAACTTTTGTATAATTATGTATATTTTTCACTTTTCGCCGTCTCCTTGAAGACGCTGAGCAAGAAACCTTTAATTTTTTATTTAAATGCTGCTATTTACATATGCTCTGTCTGCCAAATTTTTACTTTACATAGCATTATTGAGCTTCTTTGGCGACAACCCAAGATTCGGGGTAAATCTGGATTTCTAAAAGAAAATTTGTTTTAATGGAACTCAGTTTAAGGGCTACCGGGGTGAGAAAGTTCAGCTCAGCAACGTCCTGCTCGAAGTTAATAGCAGCTAAAGCGAAAGATAAGAGGTATATGCTTGAAAACAGGTTATAGAGGCACCTGTTTTCAAGCTTTTGACTAGCTAGTCAAAACCAAAAGGATCTAAGGGTGTTAACACGTGTCATTCTCCTGATCATTTGCCTTCAGGTAAAATGGTGAGAAAGAAAACCGTTATGACTAAGCAAGTCATCAAGTCGATAAACGACAACTACTCGTAACTAAAGAATGCGTTCGAAGAGGTTGCTGTAATTATGTATTATAAGAATTGATATAATTATGTGCAGTACAATAAGCACTTTATAAGAGAGTGCGGTGGTTGAGAGGTTGAGTGACTGTTTCTTAAGTAATCAAGCTCGAAAACGAGCACTCTCGAATGAACCTGCATCACGCTCTCCGAAGAAGAGAAGTAGTAGGCCACAAGGTCACGAAGTAGTTGATATATATTACTAAGTTGGGACTTGGGATAGCTAATTTTACATATGTAGTTGACTCGTACTGAAAAATTTCGCACATCTCAATGGAAATGATTGTTTGGCTTGCGTGTTACGAAAGGGAAGTGTGCCGGTAGATGGTACAACTCGCGCACATGTACGAATTACGAATACGTCCGCTTTCGCACGCTCCCAGACACTTTTCTTTATTGTTTCATGACATTCTATATCCAAATTATTTGTATACAGTTGCATGAAAACCGTATATGCGCGTTTATCCGGCAGGATAGAAATCGATGAAATAAAATTGCACAATTTCAAACACACGGAGCTGTACCACAAGACTCAATATGAACCGATTCCCTTTAATTTTTGCATGAAAACGAACATTACGATGAATATCTTGACACAGAGTTAGCTTTCTTACCTTTCCTTACCTTAACTCATTCCTTATCTTAAATAAGTAAGGAAATGACTGCAATGCATTCTGAACTTGCCTTCCATATTTTTTACATGACAGTACGGCAAGAGCGACATGCTCATTTTACACTTATACAGGAATGTCAACTTATAATGAACGTAACGCCGTAGCTTATTTCAGATTGCACGGTTTGTGTTCCATTCGGCTCCGGTTCCATATGGAACCTTCGGTTTCGGGTTGTTTTACTTCCGTTCGCGACGTTAGCAGCTGTAACCTAGCGTCGTGCGGTGACGCGTAAAAACTATCTGCCTTACGCGGATGCTTGCAACGGCTCAGACACATGAGTGAATGGCAGGCCAGCTTATGCTGCCCGTGGATCTTTTTTGAGCACTCAGACCGCCGACCGTTAGCAGGGTGGTCACGTCCTCGCGCGCACTCGTCTCGACTAATTTTTTCGTTGCTGCGTTGCTGTACGTGACCAAAGTGTAATCAAGATCTGAAGCAGTTTTCATTCTGCCAACGCACTGCTTATCTGACGCCGTGCGATTCTATGTGCGGAGCCTCTACCGTATGCAATCCGAAATAGGCCAATGAAATGGGTACAGGAATATCCTCCAAGAAAAGTGCTATCCGGACGTTTACCAGGCAAGATAATTATATTATCCCGTATGCCGGACACGAATTCAGTACGCAGCTAACTTTTGAGGAGAATTTGCAGATACAGACTCGAATGATACTTTGCTTTGACCATTATTTCGAACGGTTGCACTGTACGAAACAATATCTCTAACACTCGGCCAAATTCACAGCCACTCTAGCGGGCGACTACTTGAACAGGCTAAAGGCTAACTGAAATGCGGCTATAGTCACGTAGGCTGCACCGCTGCAGCATGTAGCATGCGGTGTACAGAGTAGCATGTAAGCTGATTGAATGCGCTGATACCAACAGGGTAAATGTGTGTGTTGGGTGATTCGTACAGTGCAACCGTTCGAAATAATGGTCAAAGCGAAGTAGTCAAATACCATACCGTAGCTATTTACATTTCCTTTATATTTACGAATCGATAGAAAACGCTCTTGAACGCCGTTGCATGGCGTAATAGTACATTACTGCGACGCCATTCAATGGTCCGTCACGACCTGAAGTGGCGGCATAATGTATTTACTATGAACCGCCACTGAGGGCGCAAACAACCAACTGATCGTTGTCATCAGGACAACAGTGGCACACTGCAACCGCAGTTGCCATGCTGGACAACACACCACATACTGTAGAGATCACAGCGGACACAATATTCTCGTGACATCAGTGCCACTGCACTACGCCACAGGTGTCGTTTGGTAAAGTGTAACAGCGGAGAAATGGCAACCATTTGTCCAACGGATAACCCGCATTGCCGGCCGTTACGTCCATTTGACAGGGAAGCAGCCATCGGAGTGCGGTCCGCCCGGCATAATCCAGCATGAGATCATGCAGTCGGACTGATTTTTAGGACCTCGTGCTGTATGATGCCGGGCGATGGGAATACAGTTGTCCGAATCGGGATAGACCCACCACTATCAGCAGCAATAACTGGCTGGATGGAGTTCACGAGAACAGCTTCCTGAAGCAGCCGTCAATGACATTCTTTATGATGCGAATTATGGGACGCTGCATTACGCCGCCATCCAGTACGCGTATCGTCTTCCAGTTCCGGCATCAACATCCCCCAGGTATCAGGTCAACAGCCTGTCGATCTGAGCTCGGATCGAAAGGCTATTGGCCTAAGCCGGGGATTGTCGAGGATTTCCCGTCGAAACGGATTAACACGATGAATTGGTTAATGCGGCGCTTACCGGTTCGGCTGCGGAATAACTCCTATCCACGCCACAAAAGGGATGGAATAAAGACCGGCATCCGACTGTGTAAATTTTGTAGTCTACAGTTTTCCGTGAACACTGCGATGGTGCGGCTGAACGAGCGCAGGCGGATGTTAGAAACATACAGTTTGGCTGCTAGTATAATTATGGCCGATTGTCCGCAAGGTGGCTACGTGATGTGCAGACAGCGAGACAATAAAAGGCAACTTTAAAATCGAATATGACCAGTTACTGAATATTTTCAAACGCGTTCAACCTTTTATAGTAAACTCCGTTTGCGATCAGTGTGGCGCCGGTGTAATCCAAATGCAAAGAGTAAAGCAGAGATATCGCACAGTATATTGGCTATGCAACGGATCACTGTGTGTAACAGTGTTCGACTTTGAACTTGAGTTTGATCAGAGCCGCTTTTATTCATGGGAAAACAATCAAAACATCATTCGTGATTGTGTACAATATTATTCAGGAATGTACGTATACAGATACAGCAGTAACAGAACTATGTATATAGAAAATATACGTATATACATACGCGTTTTTCCGCTGGATTTTTTTATTTTGTGTATTATTTGATGTAATTACCCGTATTTGTGTAGTATTCGATTGGTTTTCCGGATTGCTGCTGTTTGTGCTGGTGGCTGACAGAAGTGGCTCAATCTGTACCAAGTTCAGTTTAAACCGTCACTGTCTCGTTGCGGACCAAAATCCGCAACGACCGCAACAGCAATATAATATGTACGCAAATAGCACGTCAAACCTTGCTGCCTCAACACGGCTTGTAAGCCGCAACACGCAGCAACGGGCCGCAACCTGTGCCAGCGTCAGCGCTGAAACAGGCTGCCGCAACGCCGCAACAGCCGCAACACGGCTTATAAGCCGCAACACGCAGCAACGGGCCGCAACCAGTGCCAGCGTCCGCGCTAGCACACGCTGCCGCAACAGCCGCAACACGGCTTATAAGCCGCAACACGCAGCAACGGGCCGCAACCAGTGCCAGTGTCAGCGCTGAAACAGGCTGCCGCAACGCCGCAACAGCCGCAACACGGCTTATAAGCCGCAACATGCAGCAACGGGCCGCAACCTGTGCCAGCGTCAGCGGTGAAACAGGGTGCCGCAACGCCGCAACAGCCGCAACACGGCTTATACGCCGCAACACGCAGCAACGGGCCGCAACCAGTGCCAGTGTCAGCGCTGAAACAGGCTGCCGCAACGCCGCAACAGCCGCAACACGGCTTATATGCCGCAACATGCAGCAACGGGCCGCAACCAGTGCCAGTGTCAGCGCAAACACAGGCTGCCGCAACGAAAAACAACGTTAGTTCCTTTTTGGACGGTAAGGTTGTTTGAACTGATTGCATGAACCAGAACCAGGAACCAGTATTGTTTGGCCAGGCTCTATCCGCCTTTGCAGATAAACTTATTTTATTTATTTTTACTAGGGGATTATTCAACATTTCTACAAAATATTAGAATTTTTGAAATTTAGACTCGGAAAAAGTGCCCTGGTTAGAGTTTTCCCATATTTTGCACAGTTTAAGTTTCTGTTTCTTAAGTTGCTTACCAGGTGTAAAACTCCCTTATAAAATTAATTTCACGGAATTTTCTCTCTCGGTTGCTGCTTGTTCTGCTGTCAATTAATAACCTTAAACCGTTCGAAGTATCCACATCCGACAGCTGTCGTTGCTAATCGTTCGTGATCTTTTGATTAAAAACAGGGCAAGTTAGCAAGGTTACTTGTTCTTTTTTGCTGCGATGATTTCTGATTATTTTGCTTACCATCTTTAATTTCATAGCAGGATGGAACAACTCAAAAACATGCCTGCATATTCTAAAGAGCTGAATGAGCGGGGAATATCGTATTGGTGGCCAATCCTTCTTAAACTGAGCAGCTACCCTCCGCTCTGTCCGTCTTATAGCTAGCTACCTTTCGCTAGATCTGCAAATATGTATAACTATCTTACTTATCACCATCCTTTTTCCCACTCCCATTCCCACAACAACCTTGTACCATTCCCATAAATATGTTTGAATATCATAATCAATCTCATTCTCAGTACCAACTCCCATTACTATTTCCCGTACTGAATATCCCAGGGTTTACTTTCACCCCACCGACTGTGCACTTTACGCAAAATCCTTTTTTATCAGTGCGCTGCGGCATATTTCTCTCTGGTCAACAACATCTGCCTAAGCAGCTAGACCAAAATTGCAGACACGCAATCGCTTCATTGCTGTGTCACGTAAAGATTTCTTTTAGCGATATTCGCGTGCGCTAGCCTTTTTCTGATTGTTAAGGGCGATATGCCCGTACATGCTGTTATCTGATATACCGTTCCACTTGTTGCTCTTTTATACCACTGTTTTTGCGCTTTTCTGGCACAGTTGCCGCCATACAGTCTGATTTCCTTCATCAACAAATCCCTGACTTGAATTGCCGTCTCGTTTGTTGCCGTTTATGCATATCTCCGTAAACACCGCATATTAGACTACGAAACCGGCCGGTCTTATACCGTCGTGACCTTTCCATTTGTTGTGCTCTGCCATAAATTATGTAACAGCTGTCAATCCTCCTGATAGTTGTGGCAAACTATCTCCTTGGTGGTGTGGAGTGACGGACACGTTGTTTGGATCGTGTCCACAATTTTGAATCGTGCTTGAATGGTGTTGATTATCGAGATATTGTGGAACGGCCATGAGAACAGGAATCGCGCAACCCTTATTGCAACATCCGAGACAAGCTCCGGTTTCTGTCTTGGAACCTTTCAGCGACCACATTACTACCTTGGAACCTTGTGCAGCCGTCGAAATAGTATCAAACAAGAGGTGGACAAAGACAGCAGCAGCGGCCCAGCAACGGGATTACCCATTTTCGAGGCGTTGCTCTCTGCGGTCATTATCTGTACTGTGTAAGTGTGTTGCATGAATGTCCACTGTGTAAGTGTGTTCCATATATTGCATACTGTGTAAGGGCCCGTTCTGGCGTACACCTATCTATCTTAATTGCTTAGCGAGATTTGAGTTCAACCGGGGACAACCGCCTAATTGCATTAGGTCCCAAAATTGCGTTCACGCAGTACACCTATGCTAACGTTAATTACCTAGCTCTTAATTGGTAGATAGCAATGTACGGCCTGAACAGTGCTTTGCTATCAAAAGGTACCTTTTGGTCGGCTCCGTAGACACAATGGTTAAGACGTATAGGAACCACTTGAGGTTCCTATTTTGTGCTCATCTTAAGACTTTTACAATAGAAAAGATTCCAAACAATTAATTAATGGCTCCGTATTGGCCCGTAACCCATTTCCACATAATTTGAAAACGGACATTATCATTAACTGGCATTTCTGCTTCAGTGTGATTGAACAGTTGCACGATTTGTAGTCCTAAAATTCCAATACTCGTATTTCACATTGTTGTTGATACCTTTTTGATTGCGCTTTCACACAACTTTCCAATTCCTAAAATTATTAACGGGCATTCTGCTAATTCATAGTACGCACGATCTGACAATATGAATATTGTTAACACTTTATACGAACTTGCCGCATTGTCGGCGGCCGAAACTGCAAAGTTATGTAACACTACGGCAGAACTTCTGAATCCCAATATGACTTGCACAAACGGAATAAATATCGCGGAAATTGTCGAAGATGTCGTGACTAACGATATATTTGGAGAAGAGTCCATTGCAGATGAACTTCGACGGATCCGAACACCAATTGATCGCAAAGGCCGTTTCAATTCGGTGACCGAAATGCTGAGGTTTGTGCCAATTATACGGCATCAAATAATTATTATATAAATTGCACGAGAAGGTACTCGCTAATATATACTGACGGTATATCTACAAAGCTCACGACAAAATTGTGCACTAAAAGACACACGTAGAGAGTAATGAGCGCGATGTTGGCGCTTTAATGATAGCCACTGCACTACGGTTATTTCAATAATGACATTTTTAGTTTTCCCAACCAAGAATTCCGCCGCCACTTTCGACTGGATCGGTCCACTTTTCAAGTTTTATGTGAACAGCTGGCGCCACTGATATATCCCGAAGTTACCATCGACATGCCTGCGACTGATTGGGTGTTCACAAATAACTGCATTACTTTATCAGTAGCAGTTTCCTTATACATTCTTGGACATCGTGCGAGTTTCACAGTGGTTTCTGCTGTTTTTGGCATCGGGAGGTCAACTGCTTATGCATATTTTGCAAAATTTTTGATTGCTATGAAGGGACGTTTTGGTGATTCATTAAACCAACCCCTTACGTCTGCCCAAGTCGAAAAATATGCGGAAGACTGCAGCACTGCTTTTCGTGAAAAAGGTGCAGTTTGGTGTCCAAAAATTATTGGCGCCGTGGATGGTTCGCATATTTATATTAACGCCCCGTCTGAGGGCCCAGAAGGTTACTATAACCGGAAGCAGAGATACAGCGTTATCTTACAGGTACCGATTATACTAAAAATTTTCAACACATACATACAGTAGGTACTCGTAACACAAATTGAAGGAAAGTAATAATACATTTTCAAGTTTATATTATCCTGAATTCAACTTAGTTTAAAATTTAGGCAGTTGCTTCCCCATCTTGCGAAATTTTGCACGCTGTATTCGGGTTTGCCGGTCGTGTACATGATGCACCTGTGTACAAGAATTCGGGAGTGTCGCAATGGTTGCCCCCCAGCGCTACGTTGCTGGGTGACAGCGCGTACCCTTTCAGCCAGCAGCTGATTACGCCATTTCGCGACGATGGCACACAGCGTTATCTTACAGGTACCGATTATACTAAAAATTTTCAACACATACATACAGTAGGTACTCGTAACACAAATTGAAAGAAAGTAATAATACATTTTCAAGTTTATATTATCCTGAATTCAACTTAGTTTAAAATTTAGGCAGTTGCTTCCCCATCTTGCGAAATTTTGCACGCTGTATTCGGGTTTGCCGGTCGTGTACATGATGCACCTGTGTACAAGAATTCGGGAGTGTCGCAATGGTTGCCCCCCAGCGCTACGTTGCTGGGTGACAGCGCGTACCCTTTCAGCCAGCAGCTGATTACGCCATTTCGCGACGATGGCACACTCGACCGGAGCAAAAAACACTACAATAGGATGATATCGTGTAAACGGAGTTGTGTGGAGCGAACGTTTGGTCAGCTAAAAGGAAGGTGGACAATTATGTTCCACATTCCGTATCGCGATATGAACACAGTGAATCTCGTAATACTTGTCTGCTGTCTGCTCCATAATATATGCGTTGGACATCTGGACCTGTTTGACTTCGATGATACACCGGCGGAAATCGTTGAGCAGAGCTACAATGAGGATGTACCTGTCGAAACGCCTGCTGAAGATCGTACAGTTACAAGTACAGTACAGTACGTACAGTACCGCATCATACGTTTTAACGTTACTGAACAACCTGTGCGAACCCACTTTAACTTTAACTGCTTTTCTCCAAAATTTTTATGTGTTTCTTAAAGGCTTAAGCATACATAAATTTCACAATCCAGCTGCTTGTGAAACGGGTTTCCAAATGGTACGCAGCGCGCGCTGTTCCGCTTGTTTCTGCGGAGAGCGATCGGTGCGCGCGTTTAACTTCGATCTCGTAATGGTTGAAAAAATTGCTACATACCACAAATTACATCCAATTTCTGCTGCAAAACGTAAGTGTAAACTGCATCATCTCCAGAAACGGTGAACGAGCACATAAAATTAAACTAACCTCGTACAGATTGTTCGGTATTAGCGGAATTATACACTGCATTCAGCCTAGCCCAAAGTTCCCATAGACAACAGCACAGTTTTCTTAAATTATAGCCGGTGACGGGGCCCTGGTTAGATCTTTATTAAGGAAATTTGATCATTTATTAGGTGACAATCTTTGGCGGCGCTGGGAAGGTTATTCAGGGGTTAGCTGTAACACTGAGATGCCGGTGGTGTGAATCCCGCTACTCTCCATGCACATGGACGAACCGACAAAATTCTACCTATCGTTTTTACGACACGGAGCAGTCATTTATTGATGTCTCACAGGACATTTTCGTCTGCAGGAAATTTGCTAAAGAAATCGTGAATAACATGTATGTTTCGACACCACTGTATGCAGATTCTTTTATTGCTTAGTAAGTATTCTTTAGATTTTTTTAATCACGCCACCTACGATGGAATCGCGGAAACAATGAAGCATACGTATGGTTGGAATAAATGTAAGTCATAGGCATCTGATGTGATTAAAACATTAATCTCAACAGATGTACGGCGTTTAGCCTTTTAAAATTTTTTTCTTTTCCAGTGTTCTCACGAAAAACTGTTGCTGCCATTTTTATGCGACATGAAATTGAATGCGACATCAGAGAACAAAAGATCAACTTCGAGTTTGAGGAGCAGAGAAGTGTTCTGCAATATTTGGAAAAGCGTATGGATGAAATCTTTACAAGCACGTACAAACACCGCTGTTCTGATGAGTGCGTCGCCAAGCAGTGTGGAAAACTGTTTATTATGGATGGACTTTGGAAAATCGTATTTCGGCACTGTATAGCTGAAGTGCAAGTGGGTGGTGATGTATGAACCTATCCTGCAAACTCAGCACATTTAAATGGGCCTGCTTGCCGCTCAAATAGCTGTTCTTAAGCTACGTATTACAGCATCATTATTATAGACGATATCCGGTACATCAATTGATGCTTTCGCTCGTGATCTGCGAATACCATGCTATACCTGATAGCTAAAATATGGTTTCATGATCCAAAGACCTACGAGTAATTTTCATCCAGCAAGCTGCCGTTGCGCATCAGTTTTATGATAGCAAAATGTTAGTGACCGTAAATCTAAGAGCATGCTTTTCCAGAATATCGTGAAAGGGATTTCTCTGATCAACTTTCCTCAAGTATGCATGCACTCGCCATGTGGCAATTCCCTGTTCTGTCTGAAACACCGCATTTTCGAAGAAGAAGAAGAAGAAGAAAATGGAAAAGAAAGCGATAGAATCACAATCCATATGGCAGGCAAGTACTGTTATTGCCAAGGTGAAATGTATGGTACGCTCATTTGCAAGCGTCGATTTCTCTGTTACGTGTTGGTAAAGCTGTTACCATGTACATCAAAACGGTACGAGTATTAATCTGAGCTGGAAGCGAGTATTTTTAGTAATTTTTCTTAGTTGCAAATCCGTGGAGTTTACTTACCAGTCGTTAACCGCGGTTGAGTTCACCGCACAAACGCTTCGGCTATTTAACGCACAGCATGCATCTGGTAAATGCTGCTCCGGTAATGTTTTTATCGATAGGTGACTGTTTACAGTTGCATTCCTGCCTCGCACCAGTTTCGAATAGTTCGGCAAATTAAATTTAAAAATATTTTTGTTTTTTACTTTGAATTTTGTACTTATAAAATTTAATTTTTGATTACGGATCAGAGTGCTTGTGGTACGATTCAAACGCTGGATGTGGTAATACGCATCCAATCGGTTAAAACGGGGTTAGGGAAGCCGTGACTTTAGAGGGCTTGTATAGCGACCTTCTAAAAAATTCCTTAAGTGATATTTTTCAATCTGAATTTTATAGTGCTGACTGTCCTAAAAGGTTTATTATATGAGCTAGGAATCCAGGAATAACTTTTTCGAGACTGCAGCTCGAACTGGTCCCGAGCGGCACCGAAACAAATGGAGCCAAGGGAAAGATCGAAGAGAAAGCTGCGGCCAAACAAATTTTTTGCTGCAGCTAAAATGTGTGCAACAGAAATGTCGCGCGTTGTTTTGCGTATTTTGTGTGCACATTGTGAACCACCAGTCGCCCCGAACTTTCGGTTTTTTTCCTCTCACTTAGTTAAGAAACCGGATACCGCAGAGCTGATGCACGAGTAAAATCAAAATTTATGTCCCTTGTACACATTAATGCAACTGTGATCAACATTAAAAACCTGCAAAATGACGGCGAAAACGCACATGGTAGACTGGAAGCTGTTGACCGGTTGTTTAGTATGAAAGAAACAGTGACCGTTTGCTCTGAATCACTGAGATATTTGTACAAGATTTTCTGGGTCCGCTTCAGTCTTGTAGTGCTAGCCACAAGCAGTGCATTACTCTGGGTCAGCCAACGTTGCCTTTGCCGTCCAATTTAACTTGCCGTTTCAGTTTGCCGTTTGTAACTTTACTTTTGCCTTTTCTTTGGAAAAGCCGTTATCAAAACAATTTAAAGTTTCAAAACACGCGGCCTCTACAAGCCTTTGCCTTTGGAAAACGAATTACCGTTAACACGTTGCCGTTACCAAACTTGATTTTCTACGGTTTTCGGTTTCAAACTTTTTTTACATTACCTGTGCACGTTATGCGCGGTGCGCACAGTGTTTAATGTGTGTTGCCAGACTTTGATTGTTGCAGGAGTTTCCAGGGCATTACAGACTAAAGCAAAAATGAGCATCGATTCAATCTTAAGCGGGGAAGTGAATGCTGGGTCTGAAGACATTACCTGCCGGAAGTTTGATCCGAATCTCGGCTGCAGGAAAGACAAAGGGGAAAACCAGCGCGGGCATCTGTACAGTCGCGGTTATCTGTTTTTGGTGGGCCCGACTGGCCATATTTTCAGCTTCGCTCCCATCTACAGGTACGCTGTCTCACGATATTGAAGGCACGTTATATTTCGCGCGGTAGTGCCTGTGATCGGTTTTAAAATCAATCGAGCGCGCACGAACGTATGCGAATCTAAAACAAATCTCCAACGTTTGTTTACGAAAAAGTCGATAGTCACCGTTCCCACCAAAATATTAAAAATTAATTCAAAATTGCGCGCTATCGCTTTGCAAGCTTGATCATATTGCAGGCTAAGCTTGCTGTAGCGGTAAATTACCGCTACAGCAAGCTTAAAAAATTACATCCAGCAATTTTGCATGCAGTTGGCAGTAAACTTGCAGTTTGCACTTCATTAAAGGATGAGAACAGCAGTTTTTGCAGTTGTTGCGCATTTCCTCATAACAGCATTAATGCTGTCATTAAGAAGAAGTAGTAAATCTGCGAAAACGGCTTTGAAATTTTTTCTCGAAAATCTATGAAATATTTAACGTAACCACTGCTAACATCACGGGGTTTGCTTTTAGAGCCGAGAGTCTTGGGCAGGTGTACCTGTTTATTGTCGGTGCGCTGTACGAGTTGTTGCAAGACGTCGCGCCGGAAGAATGGGAAAAAGTCTTTATATGTTACGATAACATCTGTCAACTCAACCGACTGAAGGCCGCAGCCGAACCTTTGCCGTTTCCCGAGCCTTTTGACCAACTCTGGAGTCGTGTATCCAAAATCGTCGACGGGTTACACATTCAGAACCACAAGGATTCCAAATGCAAAGAAAAATACCACCCCAGTCTGTACTTAAAGAGCCATCCGACTGCCACTGAGCGAAATACAATGGCTGCCGAACAGACTTTCTCTTGGCTAGCCAAGTACAAGAAGCAACTGAATGCAATGAACAAAAGCAGGCAGTTTTTCTTCATTCACCGAATGGCAGTTCGTCGAAACGATTATCTTTCCGACTGCTTAGCGGACAATAGCCGGCCTGTTGGCGGTACCATGCGCACCTTCAAGGAAAAGTAGGCAGCTTTTGCTGCTCTGATAGCGCCTGGCACAAGGTTTGCGTTATGCAAACAAAACTTTTTCTGATTGGGAATTTGATAGCATAAATAAACTTTCTTTGGTCATGTGAACGTTTCATTGCGTTTTTATGTGTGACGTTCAATAAAATTGATTTTCCGTAGTTAAAATAAAAAAGCTGTTTATCGCGTTGTGCTCGTACACAGTTTCAAACGAAGATCAAAATTAACGTTTAAACCTAATCAAATGTTCCTTAGTTCTCTACTGCAATGTCTACTCCTTTACCTAGCCCAGAAGCATTTGTAATTTACACAAACACTTTAAAAATGCGCAGCTTGGCAAATACTGAGCTCCTCTTTTGACTAGTTTCATCACGTCCACTCACAATTAATTTGTTCCAGGGCGCTGATAACATTTGCCCTTGAACGAATATTTTCTGAAGTTGCACGCACGCTAATTTGACCCAGTCTTAGTTGTTGTTTCTGTGGTTTTCACGGGCAAAACCGTTCGAACGGATGAAGGGACGGATGGACAATTTTACTTGCACAGCGGTAAAACAGTCAGGCGGTAAAAAATATACGTCCGCCTTAAATTTTGCCCGGCCGGGGTTTTGCAAACTTCTCGATTGGGCGAACCGTCTGGACTGTATCTTCTACACGGTCGGTTCTTCCGGGACTGCATATTCCTGGGCGTCGATTTTTCCGGTTACACCAGGATCCAATAAAATTACTCGGTCTGCGGCACTTTGCTATTGCTACAAGAAGCGTTCCCACGACGCCAGGTACTACTGATAAATCGGTACCGAGGTGCAATCAAGGTCATTTGTGGAATACTCATTTCCTGATGCCTCTCGTACTATTTGCCAAAACTTTATCACGTGTCTTGCAGAAGAAAACTTGGTTCCCTACTTGGCTAATGCTGCTCATTCTCGATTCGATACTCTTTGTGCTTTTATAGACGTATTGGCTCCTGGCTAGGGCGTCCGTCGCAGCCAAAACGCCCGTGATTCACGCGGCAAATACATCCTGTTGAAATTGTCTTTTTGTTACTGTAATGGTGACATGGCTGTGCGGACTATAAACTGTATTTCAGAAGCCTCAGCTTGGAGCATTAAAAAGAATGAGAAACATGACAAAAAAGTACCTGAATACAAAATTCGCATCCGCATTTCGCACGAATTCCCCTCGTGATCGTGTGTATCATGTTCTTCAAAGAGGATGAATAGCCGATATAATGACCGTAGCGATTTTGTTGAATCCTTGAATTCAACAAAATTTGAAAGTCTGTCCAACTGTCTTTCCGCCCCAGAAGTTAAATATAATTTCCATATAACGGAATATTTTTCTTATCCCGCATCTTCCGCATTTCGTCATCACTTTCTTATTCCATACCTTCCTTATTTTGTCGCTGGCACTGGTTGCGGCCCGTTGCTGCGTCTTGCGGCTTATAAGCCGTGTTGCGGCCGTTGCGCCAGCCTGTGCTAGCGCTGACGCAGGCACTGGTTGCGGCCCGTTGCTGCGTGTTGCGGCTTATAAGCCGTGTTGCGGCCGTTGCGGCGTTGCGGCAGCCTGTGCTAGCGCGGACGCTGGCACTGGTTGCGGCCCGTTGCTGCGTGTTGCGGCTTATAAGCCGTGTTGCGGCTGTTGCGGCGTTGCGCCAGCCTGTGCTAGCGCGGACGCTGGCACTGGTTGCGGCCCGTTGCTGCGTGTTGCGGCTTATAAGCCGTGTTGCGGCTGTTGCGGCGTTGCGGCAGCCTGTGCTAGCGCGGACGCTGGCACTGGTTGCGGCCCGTTGCTGCGTGTTGCGGCTTATAAGCCGTGTTGCGTCCGTTGCGGCGTTGCGGCAGCCAGTGCTAGCGCGGACGCTGGCACTGGTTGCGGCCCGTTGCTGCGTGTTGCGGCTTATAAGCCGTGTTGCGGCCGTTGCGGCGTTGCGGCAGCCTGTGCTAGCGCGGACGCTGGCACTGGTTGCGGCCCGTTGCTGCGTGTTGCGGCTTATAAGCCGTGTTGCGGCCGTTGCGGCAGCCTGTGCTAGCGCGGACGCTGGCACTGGTTGCGGCCCGTTGCTGCGTGTTGCGGCTTATAAGCCGTGTTGCGGCTGTTGCGGCGTTGCGGCAGCCTGTGCTAGCGCGGACGCTGGCACTGGTTGCGGCCCGTTGCTGCGTGTTGCGGCTTATAAGCCGTGTTGCGTCCGTTGCGGCGTTGCGGCAGCCAGTGCTATGCGGACGCTGGCACTGGTTGCGGCCGTTGCTGCGTGTTGCGGCTTATAAGCCGTGTTGCGGCCGTTGCGGCGTTGCGGCAGCCTGTGCTAGCGCGGACGCTGGCACTGGTTGCGGCCGTTGCTGCGTGTTGCGGCTTATAAGCCGTGTTGCGGCCGTTGCGGCGTTGCGGCAGCCTGTGCTAGCGCGGACGCTGGCACTGGT